TGTGGGGCCCTTCCCGCTGCTCAGCCCGCCTGCCCCTGCCAACCTCGCGCTGGGCAGTGCCCCGGGCAAACGCCTCCAAGAGCCATCCTGGAGGTCCCGAGGCCGCTCGCTTTGCTACCAAAATAGACGTGGGAATAGCCTCCCCTCCCCCGCCAGCTCTTCAAAAGCGCCCCAGCCCCAGACCTCAGCGCACTGCGGAGCCCAACCCTCAGCCCCACGGACATGGGCTTCCCTGGGACCCGCCGGCAGAGCCAGGACCAGAAGCCAAGTCTTGAGAGGCCTGGGCAGGGCCCCACTTGCCCCCTGGCCCAGGGCCCTCTTAGCCCCTTTCCACACCTGGCTCAGCTGCCCTGGATCCCCTCGCTGTCAGTGGCATCTCTGCCGTCCGGGGGCCCTGGAGCGCCCGCGCCGTGCAACTCACAAAGCGCAGGCTGGGCAGCCTCCCGAGGCCTGTTCCAGGCCCGAGAGCAGGGGTCTCCAGTAATGAAGTCACTTTTCAATTTCAGTGCAATGAAAGGTCAACCTCCAACCCAAAGACCCTCCCCCACTTCCTTCCTGCCCCTTCCTCAAGGCCCTGCTCCTGCCCCACCCTTTCTCCAACCTCACCCTGCCCCACCCCTTCCCTGAGGCTTCACCCTTCTCCAAGGCCTCACCTGTCCCAGCCCCCTTCTTCCCCATCCTCACTCACTTTCTCCAGGCTGGGGTAGGCAGACTCCAGTCTTGGGCCTCTGTGGGAGGGGCTCTGGGGTGGGGGATTGGGATCCAGAAGGGGTTTCAGGGTGCAAGCTCTGGCAAGGAGTTTGGGTGCAGGGGGACCATGTCTGGGGCAGGAGGCTGGGTCCAGGAGGAGGTTCAGGGCTGGGACAGGGGTTCAGGAAGCAGGATCTGACTGGGCACCATTTAACTGAGACGCCTTCCGGGTGGTGAGCAGTGGGGTTAAGACAGGCTTATGCCCTGGCCCTGCACCACCCCTGAAAGCAGCTGGCATGGACAGCAATGGCTCCATAGCGCCATGTGCTGCCCCCCATCTATGGGCACTGAGCCCACAGCTCCTACTGCGGTTCCCCATCACTGATCCAGGGGAGCTGCAGGAGCAGTGTCTGCAGGCAAAGGCAGCATCTGGAGACCCCCTGCTCTGCCTTTCTCGGGGGCCGCAGGGACATGCCAGCCACCTCCAGGAGCAGCAGTTCCCACGGGGAGAATGGCTCCAGCCACGCCAGGCTGGGCGGTTTAGAACTCACTGCTCAGAGAATTACATGGAAGCGTGAGGGAGAATGAAACCATGAAATGCCCAGACCAGCCCAAAGCCAAAAACACCCACTTTGCCAGCCGTAAAAGTAACAACCCCCCATGTGTGTTGGGTCAGGAGATGGGAGGGAAGGACAGTGTGTGTGTGTGTGTGTGTGTGACAGACACACACAGTGTGTGAGAGTGACACAGATTTGCACTGCCAGGCTCCCTCCAACCCCTCCTCCCTGTGTGGAGACAGGGTACAGGAGTGGGGGGCGGAGGGACACCCTGACATCAGCCCCCCCCCCATCCCACACCCTGCCCAGCGAGCAGGAGGCTCCCGGGGGGCAGCTCCAAGGCAGAGGGCAGGAGCAGCCTGACATTGTGTGTGGGGGGGGGTGGGGGGGAGGGAGTGCCAGTGCGT